CGTGCATTTAGTTATTGTTACATAATACCATAGTTTCGATTGATTTGTGTATGGCTATTGCTAATGACAAGATTTTATGGCTCTACAATTTCTTATTTTTTTTTTTGGTTAAAATTGACATATTCTTATTAAGAAGGGTTGTTGAAATTAATGTTAAAAAAAGAAATAATAACAAAAGTAATTATATTTAAATTAAGTTATGAATGTCAACATATAAAAAAAAATTAGTTTTGACTTGTGTATATTTTATGTCGTGTCTGTTAGGGCGTTTAACATTGATTTGATTATGATTTTGTTTTTTCTTTATCATGTTTAAAAGCGAACTTCTAATGAAACTTGAAAGAATTACGTTTACCATTTTAAAATTTTGAAATTTTTTTTAATGTGTGTGAAAATAGTAAAAGAGGTGTTTAATTATTTCATTATAAAAAAATAATTTCTCGGTAAAGTCATGTAATTTTTTTTTTAATGTTTTGGAATGTGTGTGAAAATAGCAAAAATAGTTGTTTAGTTATTTCATTATAAGAAACGATTTCAAGCTATGAAAATTCATGTGTAATAAATTGTAAATTTTATGTTTTTTCTTTGAATTTTTAATTATAATGTACAACTAGTACAACACTCATGTATTACATGGGTGGCGACGGTGCCTCGTTCATGGACGGATTCATAAAAGTGTGATGGGTATCCGGACAAGTCAAATCCAAGACCGTCCTGGCCGGCGCCCACCCTTACCATAAATAATCAACATATTATAGATAATTCGAACCTAAATATATTTGTATTAGAAGTAAACTAAATCTACTCAAGCCTAATAACGAAACATGTATTTTTGCCACATAAGATCCCGAAGCATGCGAGCCTGCCACATAAGTTCAGCACGTTCTCAATTAATATATAGGGAGGGATATCTAGTATCTTTTAAATATTAGGTCCCCACTCGTTTATATGGCTAAATCTGTCCCTGGTTCTTATGTATTTTAATGATTTCAATTTCGATCTTAATGCACGTGAGATTATATTATTCTTTCAAATTTTACATCCCGTGCATCGCAGGGATTACGTAGTAGTACTAATTTCATATTCTGTCACTTCGCTCAAATTACGAGCCCCAAACTATCAATTTCAATTAATTCTTCTTATGAATATCTAATTAGTTTATACCCCTCAACCTTAGCTTATCCTCCTATAAATTGTGATTAGATCTTTCTTGGTCCTAGAATAGGTTGGTTTGAAAGCTTATTAAGAAGACTGCATTATATTTCAATATCTATAAGTTGCAAACAAGTTTAAATAGGTCCGACTATTAATTTAGTTCACACTTGATAGTATTAGACTATAACATTGTGATATATACAAGTCAACAATAAATTACAACACTTGAGTGTCCCATTTATCCCAATTAAAGAAGTAGCAAAGTAGGTCGAATTATTCAACTTTTACTTCATCTTTTAATTAGCAGCAACGTTCCATATCCTATTATAAAAAAAGACCTACTTTCTAAGGGAAATTTCTGCAACAAAACATAATTGATTCCATTTAACTATATGATGCACGATTTTTTAATTGCGTTATTAATATGGAACTACAACTACCATTGGAAAAGTTCTAGTAGAAATAGTGGTCGAAGTAGTTATACTAAAACAATGGGTGGACATCCAAATTAAAGAGTGAGATTCAATACAATTAATTTTAAATTTTTCAGTTGGATGAAATTTTTTCGCTCAAACTACTATTGGAAATTTTGTAGAAAAAAAAGTTACTCTTTTTAAAAAAATATAATTAAATATTTGCTACATTTTATAATAAAAAATATTATTTATCCAATTAACATATTTTTAACTATCAATCATTTACAATTATTACTTTTTATATTTTTATATGGCATAAATTTTTATAATTACATTTAATTTCAAGTCCATTCACAAATTCAAAACTAATTCATTATTTTTACTAATCCCCCCGTTATTTTATTAATTTTTAGTATTTTTCTAAAATAATCTACATTTAATTCCACATCGGTTTGTTATTTTTTTTTTTACTAATTCAAGAATTGGCAAAAGAGATGACAATTTTGCTATGAAACCAACAGTTGGCTCCATAGTGAAGTCACCTTTCTATATACAACAAGTAAAACTTAATATTGTATATAAAATTATTAGTATTTATTATGGTATAATTATTTGTTGTATTTATTTAAGTAATCAAAAAATATGATTTAATATACTGGTTGTAGATGGAAAATTTGCTCCATAAAAACTGAAAGAGATAATTACCTTACTCATTTTTTCTTCGAAGACCCACCTTCTTACCTTCATGATGGGGCTTTCGACTTTTGCAAAAAAGATTGGAGTGAGACAAGATTCACAATATTGTGCCTTTGTCCCATCAAAAACAATAAAATGACAAGTATGCCCCAACTGTGTGATGACCACCAAATGGACAGCAACGAAGTTGGCTGGTGTTTCCTTTTTGAGGAAAATTTGCAATTACCTTTTTACCACTACATATATAACTAGTGGACAAGGGCAACACCAGTACACCACACTACAATGTGAAATCCCACTCTAATACGAAGCAACTAGTACGTAGCCTACAATGTGAAATCCCACTCTAATACGAAGCAACTAGTACGTAGCCGGCGATGTACGGGCCAATAATTATAAATTGCTTATATTAAAGTAATAAAATATTGAGTAGTCTAAAAATAATTTTGAATATTAATATTATTGTTTTCTTTTATCTTATGATATATATTATATTAATTTAATATATGATTTATATGCTTATTTCACTCGTTATACAATAATTGTCATTTTAGAGTTCATGTTTATAATTAAAGAATAAATTTTAACATATTTAAACATTATCAATCAATATTACTCACATAATATCTCTCTCCCTCTCTCTCTCTCTCTCTTTCTCTCCTCCTTACTCTATCCTTACTCATACCTTATTACTATATAATATGTCGATTTCTAAATAAGTTGTGCTAAAGTTGAAAAATTGTGTCAAATATAATAACCAACACTTAATTGTAATTACTTCAAAAATTATTAATTTTTAACTACGTCAATATTATTTTATTAATTGTAATAATATTGTTTAAAAATAAATTTTTTGACACAATATTATTACAATTATTTTTTTTACGTCAATTGTACTTATATTTTAAAAAAATTATTAATTTTTAATTACGTCAATATCATTTTATTTTTTCTTATAACTTATATAATAATATACAGTATAAATATTTTAAGTTTTATTTATATTCTATTAATTTATATGAATTTTTTTATGATATTGTGAATTACAATATGAATTTTCCAAAAAATGGTTGGGTGCAGTTATTGATAAAATCAAATAATGTTTTTGAAATCCTCGAATATATAAATTTTTAGTATATGTCTCGTTATCAAATGATCACATGTATTTGTTATTGATGTTGAGATATCAATTCTGTTGTAATATTGTGGTCGTTATATCAATAAGATTTTTGCAGTTGATTTTTAAATTTATTTTGTACTTATATTTTGCAACGTTCTCACGCATATTTCGGTCTACACATGGTTGGATGTCCAACAAATCAGAAAAACACACTTGTTATTAAGGATAAAGATTGGTTTGTTATTAAACATAAATAGTTAATTTTCTTTTGATGTTGTGGAAAATTGCGTTTACAACTTTTAAAAAATTGAACCAGTTAAGTTATTGATAAATCAAGGATTTTAAAATAATCCATTGATTAAATGATTTTTTGAATATACGATGAAAAATGTTTTGGTATATGGTTGGTTACAAAATGAATAAGAAATCATTGTGATTTGCTATTAATGCTGATAAATAAGATTCTCTTGTAACATTGTGATAAATATAACAATAAAATTTTGATAACCGATTTTCAATTCTTACTTTATAATTATATTTGCAATTTTATCGTGCAAATTCAGATAATATTTTCTAAAAAAATTATTTAAAATTTACAAGTTCAAATCCTCATGCATGTTGGGATGATAATAGAAGTTCGAGAATTTCAAATTCACGATGTAGTTAGTTATTATTTTAAAAAAATTTAAATAACTCCTCAAATATAGTAATTTCAAATTTATTCAAGACAACCACACCTTTCTGCGAGTATGACACTTCATTTAGATTCATCACCACCGCGAGTCACCACGTGAGAACTAGACAATAAATTCATAATTTTTCTACAAATTCATTCGAGGAGTTTAAAATTTAAAAATTATATTTCAAACGTAGCATGAATTCATTTCTCCTTCCTCAAAGCAAGAAGCTAGAGCTTATGTAATTCAAAATTGAGGAAAACTAGAGACTAAATTGAGTCTATTGAGATTAAGGGTGAGCAAAACCGAGCCGAAATTGAAAATCGAACCGAACTGAGCTATTCGATGCAATTAGGTGTGGCTTTTGAAGATTTCGATTAACGGTGTAGTGTTAACCGAACCGCACCGAATATCATAAAGTGTCACTTTAGTTTTACACTTTTACTTACATTACATATACGATATACATGCTGCGACTTTGTGAGTAAAAATTTGGACACAACATCACATAAACATTTACATTTAAAACTTAAAAGTAAAAATATATTGTTTGAACATTAATTTGTAGTTATCTTTTTCTAATTTTCGGATAACCAAAAAACTGCACCGAACAGTACCGAAATTTTCGGTTCGATTCTGTTCGATTTTTCCTTCTATTGCGGTGCGATTCGATGAAGAAATCTTAAATATTTGGTTTTCGGTTTTTCGATGTGGTTCGATCTTTTGACCGAATCGCATCGATGCTCACCCTTAATTGAGATGAAAAGAGACGCATGGAAAATTCGAGATCCAAAGGAAAAGTCAAGAATATGATATAGAAAATAAAAATCAGCACAAGCAGGATAAAAGTGTCATTTTCCACATTCATATTAAAAGCAAGCAAATATTTCCTCTTAACTGAAAACGACCGCAAGCGACCTGTGGTCTACCTGTACCTCTCTTTCTCTCTCTCACACACAAACCACAAACCCACTACCACACACACACACATATTGACCCAATAGACTATACATACAGATATTATAGATACACATATACATACATGTACGTGTCCTATGTGCGTGTATATAAACTAGAGATGCTTCAAATCACCTCTCCAATTTCTTCCCTACAAAAAAAAATTCTCTCTAAATCTACTGGTTTAATTTGTTCTACGGCGCACACACAAAAATGGTGGATCATCAGCAAACTGTGTGCAGTATGTGCGGCGATGTTGGTTTTCCGGACAAGCTCTTCCGCTGCTCCAAGTGCCGCCGCCGCTTTCAGCACTCGTACGCCACCTCTCTCTCTCTCTCTCTCTCTGAAAAATCTCACTAATCACATGCAATTTTTGGACTGATTTTTGCTTAATCGATGATTTGAACTAATTCCTCGGTCAATCGTCGTTGCCTCATAATTCTCTCATAAAATTTATGAAAGAAGTAAAAGGTAACTGATCAAATCATGGTAAGCTGCTACTAGTTTTGATTTTGGCTGCAGGTATTGCAGCAATTACTACCATGGCAAACAAGCGGAGCCTATTGGAATCTGTGATTGGTGCCAATGCGAGGAGAAAAGCTCGTCTGGGAATTGCAAAAACAGCAGTAACAAATCGGGTCATGCAAGTACCGAATTGAGGTCGCCGGCCAGCTCCGGCGAGAAACTCCGGCAGCATCACCACCGGGAGGAGGGCGGCTCGTCTGCGGAGAAGGCCGCCGGAAAACTCCCCTCCCCGCGGCCCACCCCTCGCAGGTACAAGCTCCTCAAGGATGTTATGTGCTGATTTTGA